ACCATGTTTTTGTATAGAACTTTTAACTGATTTATTTGTTCCTATTCTGTATTTCCTGTTTTTCCTTTTCTGTATATTTTTCCTCTCTCATTTCCAAAACACAGCTTCATAGTTCATTTAGTGTCCTCTTTATGATGTTCAGAAGTATAAGAAACTCAGACAGCACAGAATTGTGATTTTAACCATTTTTGTATTTAGTCATCACATCAATTTCTTTTTAGACATACTTGACCTTAATTCTTTTTCAAGGGCTCCCAATTGAGTTTGAATGCCAGCGATCACATTGGTTATATTCAGATCGATTGAAAACCAAGAGATACAGTAACTTTCCACTCAGCCCTTCAGCTCTCGTCTCCATTAAATGATTCACACATTACATTTTTGGGAAGTGAATATACACTAACAAAAATTGCTTTTAAAATGTGGTGAAATTGACAAAAGTGCCACAGGGAAAAATGAATTTTACTTCCAGTATTGAAAATGGCAAAAGAAAAACTCATTTCACCAGATTTGCTGCAGGTACACAACTTTGCAGAGTTCAACAGAATTCACAAGCTTTCAGGAATCCCTATCCTTTCCTTTTGGGATTCAGCAATTTAAGATAGACTCTTGAAACCCTAAAAGGCTATTAGCAAGTATTACTGCAAGAATTTTAATGCATTTATCTTCAACTAACATGGTACACCACAGATTGAACCCATGGGGTGATTTTGCAATTGCAAAAGACACAATAGAATTCAAATCGGTATTCTCTTGTACTTGAGAGACATAAACAGTTAGGTGAGAACTGGAAAAAATGAAACAGCACAGAAGGTCACCTTGAGACCCAAAGACAAAGCCATAAATAAGGCAATGTGAATTAGTCATTGGAAAGTAAAAATACAGATAGATATAATATTTCAAACTGAAAAAGAGACAAAGACTAAGAAGATGGAATGGAATAAAATAAAAGTAATTGTATTTAAAGTTTATATGATATGCAGGTTATTTTGCCTTTTAAAAATTGTCAATCCCTTTTGTATAGCAAGATAAGACTAATATTATAGTATGTTTCATTCTGTATCTGTGGTCTCTGCACTATTACTTCATATTGTTTGTGGTTCATGCTCAATTCCACACCTCACTACTTACTAGAGCTAGGGAGCCAGGTTCTGATCTTGATTGCACAGGTGTAAATAATGGCAGAAATAGATATACAGTTCCATCAGTCCCATGAGACCTATTCTGAGAGATCTTGATTGACAGTACAAGGGCAACACTTCTTGCCAAATAGAACCTGGGCTAAATTTTCCTTCAGTTACACCTAGGGCTTGTGTTTAGTGATCATTCGGTGCTTAGGACTAGCAAGAGATCTGTTTTATTCTGTCTCTGGTTCCAACTGGCTGTGTATAACAAAAGCTTCATGGTGCCCAGCTGAAATGCTCTGTCTGAGGCTTGGTCTACACTACAAAGTTAGGTCAACATATGCCAGGTTAGGTCGAGTTAATAATGTATGTGTCTATGCTATCGAGTCCCTTCCTCCGACCTAAAGGGCTTGTAAAGTCGACTCTGTACTCCACCTCGGCGAGGGGTGTAGCGCTTGAGTCAACATCCATGCATCAACATGGGGATAGTGGAGACACTGAGTTATGTAATTCGAATGAATTGGCCTCCAGGAGGTGTCTCACGGTGCTCTGCGGTGACCGCTCTGGAGAGCACTTTCAACTCTACTGCACTTCAGCCAGGTACAGAGGAAACAGCTGGCCCCCCGTTAAAGCCCTGGAAACTTTTGAATTTCAAATTCCTGTTTGATCAGCATGGAGAGCTCGTCAGCACACTGACCATGGATGCTCAAGGTTGCAAACATGCTCCAGCATGGAGTACACAGAAGGTGATGGATCTTATTCCTGTGTGGGGAGAAGAGTCTGTGCAGGCAGAGCTCCGATCCAGCAGAAGAAATACTAACATCTATGCCAAAATCACACAGGGATTGGGGGAAAAGGGTTACACCAGGGACACACAGCAGTGCCATGTGAAAATAAAGGTGCTTTGGCAAGCATACCAGAAGACAAGGGGCAGCGAACAGTCCCTCTGATTCTGAGCCACAGGCAAGACACTTCTATGAGAAGCCGCATGCAATTCTTGGCAGCTACCTCACCACTACACCAAAACACGCCGTGGATACCTCCAAGGAGCCCTGGGCGACCACGGGCTACAACGAAGAGGACATTGCTGACAAGGAAGAAGAAGAGGAGGAGAAGGAGAATGTAAGACAGACAAGTGGAGGATCCATTCTCCCCAACAACAAACATCTTCTTTTAACTCTGGAGCCCGTCCCCTCACAGGACCAATTGTTGGTGGAGCGTGATGCTGGGGAAGGCACCTCTGGTGAGTACACATTTCTAATCAAACTCTAGGGATTACATGCTATTATTTTTAACGTTGAATCTGAACAAAAAAAATGATATAGTGGTTATGGATGGCTCTCTGAAAAAGACTGTTTATGTACATGGCCCTGGAATCCTCCAGGGAGATCTCTAGGAAGCATTCATGGAAGTACTCTGCAATCCGTTGCAGAAGGTTTCTGGGAAGGGCTACCTTATTTTGTCCACCACGGTAGGACACTTTCCCGCACCGCTCCAGTGTTAATTCTTCTGGCATCAGTGCGGCACACAGCACTGCAGCATAAGGACCAGGTTTGTACCCAGATGCTTGCAAGGTATGCACCAGCAATGCTACCCTTGTGCTTTGTATTCTTTGCAGTGGAAGCCTTGTCCAACAGCACATCCTCCACACCAGGACAGAGACTTTCCCAGATTAGAAGGTGGAAAAAAGACTCAGGAGGACATGTTCGATGAACCTATGTGAACGTATAATATACCCTAGGAAAAGGGTTCATAATGTCATGTGCAACCCAAATAGTGTATGCTGAAGGAATGAATGCCAGAGAACAAGGAGGAGAACGAGGCAAGAATTCAGTAACAAAAATCGAGGGATTTAAAAATTTCAAGATGGAGTGAACTGTTTCATGGTGTCAAAAGCTGTTGTGAGAGGTCAGGACGACTGTATGTAGAGGCCATGAGATTTAGCCATGAAAAGCATTTTAGAGAAGGGTAGTTCCAGTGGAGTGAAGAGAACACAATGGAGGGAACAATGATGGAGCTGGGGCAATTATTTTGCTTTTGAATGGAGTTTTGAGTGTGTGTGTGAAGGGGAGAAAGCACATGTTGGAGAGTCAGGTGGGGACAAAGGATGGGTATTTTTAAGATGGGGGAGACCTAAGCACGCCAGTTTAGTAAGGCGAAGGAAGCAGAGGAAAGTGAGAAATTAAGGAGAGGCTGAAATGTGGTCAAGGGAGCATAGGTTCTGGAACTAGGGGTGCTGGGGGTGCTGCTGCACTCTTGGCATGAAGTGGTTTCCATTATATACACGGCTTACACTTTGGTTCAATGGCTCTCATCACCCCCATTATACAAATTGTTCCAGCACTCCTTCAAAGAGGTCATGAAGCAGAAAGAGCTATAGTTACTGGGACAGGTGGCATAGTTAGAAGAGAGCAGGAAATAGGCTTCAGTGTCCATAAGAAGGGAGAAAGAGAAGAAAGTGATGGTGAGGGAGCTAAGAGAGGAAGTCATGTTGATTTTCTCTTGGTAAAATCAGCAAGGTCCTATGCAGAGAGGGAGCACAGGGCAGAAGGGGGATAGAGGGTTAGGAGAGTGTCAAAGGTGCTAGTGTGGAGGAGCAGGAGTATGCAGTTGGAATGGGGAGTGTGTGCGTGTGTGTATCAGAGTGGAGAAACAGTGTTCCTTGGCACCAGCAAGATATCAGAACAGAAGGAGCAGAGGATGAATTTACAGTGGTGGAAGTGTTTGTAACCATGGGACTTTCTCCAGAGTCCCTGGAAGAAGGAGTGTGGGAAGCAATTGATAGGAGTGACCCAAGTTTAGAGGTTGATGGGATGGACTTTGCAGTGATATAAAGAGGTTAATCAAGGAAGTTGGGTTGGCAGAGAGCCTGCAGTAGAGGCAGTTGATGAATGAAACACAGAAGAGAGGTCAATGAGGAGAGGGTTTAGCAGGGGCATAATTTTCTATGGAGCAGGGGGCAATTGCCCCCACAACCTTGGCTTGTTCCCTACTCCCCCTGCCCAGACTTTTCATAGCTCCTTGTCAGCCAGCACTGTAGTGTTTCCCCTGGGCCTGCAAAGGTATTGAAGGGCAGGCTGAGCCAAGGCTCCTAATCACCAGGTGGTCAATGCCCTCCCTCTCTTCCTGCCAGCCAGACAGGAAGCAGCAGTGACAGCCTGGGCTGGAGCTGAGCATGGAGCAAGCTGGGTCCTGATCCCTGCCTGGGTATGGCCATCAGTAAGACACACACACACCCCTCAACCTACTGCCCCCTGCTACTGCCTGGGATAAGACTGTCCCACTAACCCCCAAGGTCAGCCATGGGACTGAGAGTGACATAGAAGTCATGAACACTGATGGATTAGAGGGCACAGATAGACATGTGGAGTTTTAACTGCTATGTGGGAAAGAATATTGGGGTTTCTTTTCATTTTCCAAATTGCTTTTGAAAGGTAGTTGGATAAAAAGATAGACAGGATAAATAGTGCACTTACACACTGTATGGGTTCCCTCCCCACTCTGAACTCTGGGGTACAAATGTGGGGACCCGCATGAAAGACCCCCTAAGCTTAATTCTACCAGCTTAGGTTAAAAACTTCCCCAAGGCACAAATTCTTCCTTGTCCTTGGAGGGTATCGCTGCCACCACTAAATGAGTTAGACAAAGATTCAGGAAAAGGACCACTTGGAGTTCCTGTTTCCCCCAAAATATCCCCCCACAAGCCTCTTCACCCCCTTTCCTGGGGAGGCTTGAGAATAATATACCAACCAAATAGGTAAACAAGGTGAGCACCCTTGGGGTTTCAGGACACTAAAAACCAATCAGGTTCTTAAAAACAGAACTTTATTATAAAGAAAAAGTAAAAGAAGCAGCTCTGTAAAATCAGAATGGAAAGTAATTTTACGGGATAATAAGATTTAAAAACACAGAGGATTCCCCTCGAGGCAAAACTTCAAAGTTACAAAAACAGAAATAAACCTCCCTCTTAGCATAGGGAAAATTCACAAGCTAAAACAAAAGATAAGCTAACACATTTCCTTGCTATTACTTACAATTTTTGTGATCGTGGAAGTTTATTTTAGGTAGGGTTTTAGGAGATGGTTGTTCCTGCCCTGGTCCCTCTCTGTCCCGGAGAGAACAACAAAAGACCACACAAACAAGACCTCCCCGCACAGATCTGAAAGGAACTTCTTTCCTTATTGGTCCTTTTGGTCAGGTGCCAACCAGGTTATTTGAGCTTCTTAACCTCTTACAGGTAAAGGAGGGATTTTATGCTACCCTTAGCTGTATGTTTATGACACACACCTAGGAGGATTCAGAAATTATGGTGCTGACCCTGAAGATATATGCCTGTTAGGATTTTTAAATCTAAAGTGCTGTAAAGTTCAATGTACATGAGATTGAACCCAAATATTAAATGCACCAGAGGTAAAAGCTCAGTCATGCAGCAGTGCAAATAGAGTTTTTTTTTTAAAGGAAAAGACTTAAAATCTCATCAGAGAATGCAGGAAGATGTACAGAACTCTGCATGATATTAAATCCTCTTATTTGCAGGAATTAGAATTTCTTTATCCTCTTTATGTGCAGAGCTCTTATTTTGGATAGTTCTCTTTTCAGATTTTTAAATTTCTGTTTGTACAAATATACATCTACACTGCATGCTTCTTTTGGTGGTGTGTGGTGCACATACCTATATGTACCTAGCACAGGTACAAATAGCAGTGTAGCCGATAAGGCGTGGCTTAGCAAGTAGAGTAAAGACATGCCTGAACGGCATGGGTGTGTACCCAACCACATACCCTACATATCTCTTTTCTTGCTCAAACCATGCTTTCCCACTGCTAATTGTAGTAGTGTAGTGTCCCGCAGCACCCTGCTGCTGAAGACATTCCCCACAGCAGGGAAAGATTCCAGCAGTGAGCAGAGTCTGGCAGAGAGGAGACAGTGGGGAAAGCCTTGGGTAGCTTCCTACTGCTGGAGCCCTTTCTCGCTTCAGGGAAAGATTTTGGCAGAGGGTTTACCCACTGCCAGACCCTTTCCTTGCTGCAGTGAAAAGATCTGGCAGCGGGGGAGATATTGAAACCTTTCCCTACTGCCTTGCAGCAGCTGAAGTCTTTCACTGCCACGTGCAGCTGTGCACCTCAGTGTGGATGCAACCTGCTTTTCTCTGTGACGTGTAGCTATATGTACACTACACGCTGCCAACACTGGTGTTTAGGATAGATGTAGCACAAGAAGCTGTCAGCCATCAGAATTATTCAAGTAAAATGATGGTTGTGAGTGATACAAAGTAGTCTGACAGGGAAAGCAGTTATTCAAACATCGTCCTTTTCAAATGATTTTTCTGGGATGAAAGAAAACCTGCATGAAAAGATATCACAAAATAAAAATTAACTTTTCTTTTTACTTCTTCCATTTCAAAATAGTCCTTCCTGATACACCTGCTTCATCTGAAACAACATAAAGCAAGACAGTCGCCTTACCTCATTCTTATTTTGTTTTTGTCTTTGTACCTTCCACCATCTATGCCTCTTCCCCCCTTACTGATCTTCAGCAGGTCACATATTCTTGCCTGGCTCCAGCAGTTCTCCTGGGAATAGGAAACCACAAATCAAAGTCCTATGAAGCAACAGTGCTCTTGATTACCTGTAGTGCACAAGGTCAGTAACAGATGTGGCCTTAAGCTCTGCTTCTTGAATCTTGACCTTTAGTGAGGGACTCCCTAATGACTTGGGAGGGACATCTGTAATTAGATAAAATTCTTGCCTATGTTTATTGAAGGGCTTCAGATTAATCTCTCTGCACATCTGATGAGAAGTGAAATGATTGTTTTCCCCGCTTCAAATGCTTCAGCATGCCTTTTCATTAATGTTTTATTGCTCGCTTACTGAATTCATCTGCTTTGGAGAGATTCTAAAAAAGAAAAAAAGAAGACCCTCCACACAATTCTGTAAGCCTACTCGTGATGAGAATTCATTCACATGGAGCTTTCTTTTGCTTATGTACTGTTTTGTGGCATTTGAAAAATGTGGCAATTTACTTGAAGAGAATAACTAAAAGTCAGTCTGAAATCCTATAGAGTATTTTAAGCACATTGTTGTCATGAATCACTTCAAGATCTCAATATAAAATGTACAATACACTGTTGTAATGTGATTGAAACTAAAATATGACTTAAAAGCATTCCATCTTTAAATCTTTCTGTAAGCCTATAGAATTATAGATGAGCATTTTAAGAAGAGATGATAAAATATTTATTCTGTTATAGTTGAGAATGAAAAAGATTCCTCTGCTTCTTTTATTTGAGAAAGTTTTACAAATGCAATTTAGCTCCAGAACACATTGCTACAGGCACTCATCATGCAGGCCTCTTGCATAGTGTACTACCAAGAGAGTAAGAGGTGAGAGGTTAAATAACAGGCAGAAAAGTGCCAGTGGCCTTATAAAATTGGTGAAGAGACCGTAATTCTCTGAAGGGTGAAATCTGATAGAAGCCCCAAACCATAGTGGACTCTGGATAGTGACAAATGAGTTCTAACTTTTAATTTATGTGCCTGTTCTTTTTGTACCCCCTATATTGCTCTCAACTTTGTTTGCCGTGCTGGGCAGTGCATCTCTGGGGGAATTTTGACAGGACTTCACTTAGACCCTCATATTTTCCCTATTTCATGGTCCATCTGGTATCATATAGATTAATGGCTTTTTTCTGCACCTTGGAAATGTTAGGATGGGTTACAAATAGCAAATCCCTTAGAAGTTAGGAATGATGCTCCATTTTTGCCTCTAGGTTGCTAAAAAACCCTGAAAAAAATAAATAAGAACTGCTTCAACAGGGCTATTGATAGAACAACACTGATTCAGCATCCTGAGTAATTCATTATATGTCATTAGTATTATTAATTAGCATTTTCCTCCATACTTCACAGAAGACCAGGCCTGTTACTTATTCCCCGGTCCCACAGGGATCCTAGATGGCTATATACTACAAGTCCTACCTCTTATGCCCCCAGGCGCTACCTGAGCAGGCTGTAAAAACCACTAGCCTCAAATACAGTGCCTCAGCTGCCTCCAGTGGACTCGGCTCGAAGAGAGTGCCTTCTTGCACCATTATGTCACAGCTGGACCTTGCACATTTTAATGGTTTTCATTTGTTCTGCCTTTTAATGAAGTGTGCCAGGTTGTGGCATTCCTGGTGTTTGGGAGCTTGTTGTTGTGTGCCATCTAACTAGCCTTCACAGGTTTTTTAATCCATTAGCTCCATTTAAGTGTCTGTTTTGCTATAATCCATTAACGTTACCATCTTAACATAGCAATGCTATTTGATTGCCAATTCATTTTTACTGCCACCTCATTGCCACTACTTGGTTAACTCACTTAACAACTCACCTTTATCAGTTGACTTCTGTTGGTCTGTATATTCATTTTGTTTTTGTCTCGCCTCCACCCATGCTGTTTCCTATATGTTTCACTGTGTTCCAGAGCTGTTACTAGCCGTGTAATTTAGGGTAGCTGATAGACTGCTCTAAGTTATGTTTCAGTACCGAAACAATTAGAATCAGGACAACATAAAGGTGGTTTAAAGCCACCTTCTTTCCCCTCACCTCATCCGAAGTAGTACTGACACAAAAAGATTGGTCCCAATGGTTCTAACTTCATTTAGTTCAGTCCTCACTGATCAGCCAAACTGTGGGTCCAATTCTGTGAGATGTCAAGCCACCAAAATCAGTGGGAGTTGAAGATGGCAACCTTCTGGGAAAAGGAGATAGGTTCAGTGTGTCAGGCACTCATCTCAGACCTACATTCAGTTCCCTACTCTGCCTCAGGCTTCCAGTGTGATCATGGGCAAATCATTTAGCCTCTCTGTACCTCAGTTCCCTGTCTGTAAATTGGAGATGACAGTACTTCCCTATCAGGTTGACAGCATTGTGAGGGTAAAGACACTAAAGATTTTGAGGTGCTCAGATTCTGTGGTAATGGGGGACACAGAAATACCTAATACAGAATAGATCTCAGCCCTTGGAAAAGAGTTGAGCCATAATGAAACTTAAATTATACTTACAATTGATTTTAATGTCTGTGTAAAGGTGTCCTAAATTTAACTTTAGGAAAGGTTTTTTTCTTGTGTTGTAATACTTTCCCATCTATTTTTTTAAAAGCAATTTATGAAATAAAAGTGATTGTCTATTGCCACAATATTTCCTGCCATAATTTCAAAATCAGGACTGTTAACTGGTGTATATCTATTTTTGCCTGGGTTTGCCCTAATAAGAAGCTTCTACTGTACCTTTATGTATTTTATATTACAAGAACAGGGAAATGCAAGTTAAAAAGTAGATTTAGCTAAAATGAATTAGGATTGCGATCTCACCTGACATTACCTCATAGCATAGGTATTTGCTGTTTTGTAGTTCTCTGCAGTAGATAAATTTGCTCAGGCTCAAATTTATATTAATTTGCTGTGTTGTGTCATTTATAGATATATTAATGTCACTGATCAATGAAAAACCAGCTAAAGGTTGTGAAGCATAATGCCTTTACCCTGTAATATTGAACCAGGGCTGCCTAGAGAAAAGAGATGAATGATTTCTACATCAAGCTTAAATAAAGAAATGTGGAGCTCCTTCAGGTTGTGTATAGCTGCAGCTTTATCACCTTCACAAAGTCAAGTAAACATATGCTTGGTCCCTGTGACCTTTAATGAGTAGAATTAAAATGAAAGTGCCAAAAATGTACATTAAACTATCCTGCCTTTGGCTTTTGTCTAGTTTGAAAAATCTTGTGAAATAGTAGTGCAAAGGGAGCAAAAATTTTGTAAGAGGTAATGTGAGTAGAATTACTCTGGTGATGTTTCAATCATTCTAAAATCCCCATTTTCCAGAGACACTAAAGTAAATTTGCTGCAACACATTTTCAGCTCAGTTGAATTGACATGCAAGTTGAGATTCAAATCTTGCAGTAAGACCATGCATTACAACACCAGAAATAGTCTGGTTAATCTTCCAATCTTACAACAAGTTTGGTGTCTCATAATTTGATTCTTGAACTTGAACTTTGCCATTGCCCAATAGCAAACCTAGGGTAAAATGTTGAGACGATATCATTTTCATTTGAGCACAAAGAGGCTGAGACACAATATTCAACTAAGCTAAACTATTCCAAATGTGATTAACTACTGATGAGAAATAGAGCCTGGCAAAGAACATGAAGCAGGAAATTGATTGGTTAATTAGTACTATGCTTTGAAAATCTAAAACATTAAAAAAACCAACAATGGGAACAAAACAAAATTCTCTAACTGAAAACTCTCTGTAGCATCATGGGGGAGCTGCATCCGCTTATGGACCTTCCAGAATCCCTGTTGCATCCATGAGTCTTCCTCGGAAGAAGTCTCCACCTCTGGTGCCCACTGTAGCAGGGCTCTGGCTCAGTAGATAATTGTCCCTTTAGCCTTATCTCCCTCCAGATGGATGAGTTGGAAGGGCTCAGCCCTGAAAAGTTCTTAAAAAAAAAAAAAGCAAACAACTCAATACTGGATAGTTCCCCAGTTTTCCAAGGGGGTGCTCCCTGCCTTTCCTTCAGGTTTGTCTCCTTTGGGTCATCGCTCACTCCTGGCACTCACCAACTGGTTCTCCCCAGTGTCTGCTCCAGATAGCAAACGTATCTCTCCATAACTCTGCATGCAAAGCTCCCTTCAGGCATGAACTCCTTCCTCCTTCCTGGCTAGCCAATCCACAACTGAGACAGGCGTTCTCCTTTTATCCCTCCTCTAGTCTTGGCATTAGCTTCAGATATAGCAGGGTGGGGCTAGTTGGGCCCATAGACTTTCTTTAACCACTTCTCTGCTGGGGTGGGGACTCTTTGCCCCATCACACTCCCCAAATGAATGCTTATTTATTATTTTTGCCCCTTTTTGACCTGATCAGCAAGTCAAAGTTTGGGGCCCAGGGGATGTTCCATTTGGAAGTAGAAATTGATGGAGTCTAGTATTTTCTTTGCTGCAATCTTGTTTATTCTTCTCCAAACGCAGGCAGAATCAAGAAAAAAGAAGTAATTTCTTAGCTTATGACCCCCAAGCCTCTCCCAACATTTGACTCAAGAACCCTCTCTCTAGCTTTTTCAAGGGTCACACAATGCTTAGAGGTTGATGCTTGGCTTTGTTGCTTTTTGCCTCTGCCCCTCTCTCTCTCTCTGTTCTGTGTGTTCACGTCTTCAGCGTGTTGTATCTTCCTTCACACATGCATGCACACACAAAACACAAACAATATTCAGCAAAAGCGCTCCACCTATTTGAGCCTGGTCTACACCTGCTCTAGGTCAATGAAAGAATTCGTCTGTTGACCTAGCTACTGCCTCTTGGAGAAGTGGGTTATCTACATTGAAGGGAAAAAACCCTTCCACTGATGTAGCTGTGCCATTGTAGCCACTGTAGTGTAGACACAGTGTCCTGGATGGGATCGTGGCCACCTTTTGTCTTAGGCGGGGTGGGGCTTGTGATTAATTTATCCTGACAATTATGTTAATTGAAAGGTGTGTTTCCGTCCAATCTCAAAAAGGTTTGTAAACCAACCAGTACTCCTCAGCATTACAGTGTTAATAATAATAGTAATAAGAAATAATAGCATTGTACAGAATGAGAAGCAATCTGTACCACTTGCATTCATAGTCAGTGTCACTGAAAAGTGTTTAAGAAAGTAACGAGGTAAATTTTTGAAAGGATTTGTCAATAATTAATGTCAAATATACAGCTATGTTTTAAAATCTGTTCTATTTCCTTCAGAACTGCTTTTTTTCCAAAACTCTGCTCACCAATCTCCTTGTTTTGTTCAGACTCGCAGACTGTTTAAAGTCAAATACTAGTAGAGCTGGATGGGAAATGGTTTTCCCATCCCATGAAAATGTCTAAGTGTAAGGAGGGTCTGAATGAGCTCTCCCCCTGATATCTCGTGATGCACTGGGGGAAAAGACTTCAGGAGCAGTATTGGCATACACACATCTATTCTGCCTAGGTACGCAGCGTGATGGAGCTGCTTTGCCAAAATGATCAATTTTGGCAGTTTGGATGACAAATCATTCTAGTATGAAGGGGTAATGAAACCTTGTTATCCTAACTGTAAAGGGCAACAGAACTGTGCTTAGCATGCCCCCTAAGTGAGGAGGTCACCCTAAACTGAACCTCACTTGCTAAGCAGGGGATAGAGATGCCAAATCCCAGTGAAAATGAGAGTTGGTTGTTGGAAGGGGGAGGTAGAGGTGGAGGCGAAGGCATTTCTATTTGCTGTGGTAGTTGCTGTTCAAAAAGTCCTAGACACCCTTTTATCTGCTTCTCTCCAGTGTTTAATGATAAAGTTGTTTAGACTCAGTTGCACATCCCTGTTTCTGGTTAGTGATCCCTAGAGCTGGCACTGATGTTGAGCTAAGCCCTAGGCGTTGTGTGGGACAGTGAAAAACAGTTCAGAGAGTGTGATATCTTGTAACAGGTGGGCAGCAGCAGCAGAGAAACAGCAGCAGTTGTGAGCTAGTTGCAGAGACAGAAGCAGAGGCATTGCTTCATGTCCCACCCCTCCAAGGTTTGAACCCTGTCAAGGTTCCTTCCCCACTCTGAACTCTAGGGTACAGATGTGGGGACCTGCATGAAAAACCCCCTAAGCTTATTTTTACCAGCTTAGATTAAACTTCCCCAAGGTACAAACTATTTTATCTTTTGACCTTGGACTTTATTGCTGCCACCACCAAGCATCTAACAAATATATAACAGGGAAAGAGCCCGCTTGGAAACGTCTTTCCCCCCAAAATCCTCCCCAAATCCTACACCCCCTTTCCTGGGGAAGGCTTGATAAAAATCCTCACCAATTTGCATAGGTGAACACAGACTCAAACCCTTGGATCTTCAGAACAATGAAAAAGCAATCAGGTTCTTAAAATAAGAATTTTAATTGAAGAAAAAGTAAAAGAATCACCTCTGTAAAATCAGGATGGTAAATACCTTACAGGGTAATCAGACTCAAAACATAGAGAATCCCTCTAGGCAAAACCTTAAGTTACAAAAAGACACAAAAACAGGAATCTACATTCCATTCAGAACAGCTTATTTTCTCAGCCATTTAAAGAAAACAGAATCTAACGCATATCTAGCTAGATTACTTACTAAGTTCTAAGACTCCATTCCTGTTCTGTCCCCGGCAAAAGCATCACACAGACAGACCCAGACCCTTTGTTTTTCTCCCTCCTCCCAGCTTTTCAAAGTATCTTGTCTCCTCATTGGTCATTTTGGTCAGATGCCAGCGAGGTTATCCTACCTTCTTATCCCTTTACAGGTGAAAGGGTTTTTCCTCTGGCCAGGAGGGGTTTAAAGGTGTTTACCCTTCCCTTTATATTTATGACAAACCCCATGAACACACCTCTGAACACTGAGTTTTCACTAACCAAGGACAGCCAACTGTGAGTGAGGTGCAAAAGATGGAGAGAAGAGTGATATCTTAAAGGGACAGTCATTCATTGGACTTTCCCACCACAAGGTGGGAAAGTGAGGCAAAGAACAGTGCCCATTGCACTGTGGGATCCAGTTTGCTCATGGTCACATGCTTTTGAATGTCATTGTGGTGTTTTCCCAAATTACTTCTTGGTTCCCTTTCCCTTTTAATTGTTTTGTTTTGTCATACACAGACTCAGGCTGTGTCTATACTGTGCATCTTACAATTGCATGACTGTGCCGCTGCAGCTGCACCTGCACCATTTTAAGGTGTGCAGTGTAGCCACTCTTTGTCGCAGGGAGAGAGCTCTCCCGGTGACAAAATAAAACCACCTCCAGTGAGGGGCAGTAGCTTCGTCTTCAGGAGTGTTGTTCCCTCCAATGACGCACTGTCCACACTGGTGCTTTTCATCACTAAAACTTTTGTCCTTTGGGGAGGGGGGTGTCTTTTTTCACACCTCTGAGCAACAAAAGTTTTAGGGAAAAAAGTGCCAGTGTAGACAAAGCCTCAGTGCTTGTAAGAGGGGAAATATTTCCTCTTCGAGTCACTCAGAGGTGGTGTTAGGTGTTCCCTACTGGGTGGGAGATCAAGCCAGTTATGTTTTCTATTGTTAAGTGGACCCCTTAGATATTGAACCTGGACCTTACTACTGCTGACTCCATCCAGCAGAGTTTGAAAATTGTTTGAAAATTGTTCCTGTTCTGAACTGGGACAAAAAGCCAATATCTTGAAAATGTTCACAAATTGGAAAAAAAAACCTAAATTGTTTTCAGTTTGGGTCAACTATAACATTTTGCTTGTATGATTTTGTAATAATTCATTTCAATTTTGACCTGTTTTCTTTTTCTTTTCCACCTAATTAGCTTAGACTTCTAAACTAAATGCCATTTGAAACTGGGAAACTAGAATTTGTTTTTGAAAATATCAACATTAAGTATTTTTGACAATTTCAAAACATTTTTCTTAACATTTTTTCTAGTCCGGAAAATAATCAAAACAGACCCTATTTTGCAACCCATGTGGTTTCAATAAATTGGCATTTTTTCAGCGAAAAATATTCCATTGAAAAATTCCTGACCAGTTGTACTCTCTAGATCTTTATCCCTTCAACTGAAAACCCAAATGTTCTCAGCTCCAAGCAAGACTTCCAAAATCTTCTTCAGATCATACCTCCATTATTACAAAAGAACATAGAAAGGCTTATAAGCGATTCATGTTTAGGGAATATAACACATCTGGGCCCCATCTACACTACACTACCAGTCTGACAATCATTATAACACAGTTATGCCCAAATGTGTTATAATACAGTTTGGTATTACCTGTTTAGACAGAACTAAACCATGTAAAAGCATTGTTGGGACACCTTTATGCTGTAAATGGGTAGCAAATCATGGTTATAATGGGAGTGCAGATGGGGCATTAGAAAAAATAACATTCTCACATCCTGGTGCATAATTTGCATTGTCTTTTGAATTTAGAGAATACAAAAGTCTTTAGTGAATTATTTTAATGTGACAGCTACCCTACTGTTCACCTCAAACTGCCCTCTGTATCTATGAAATCCTTGTTTTTTGTCTCAAAATATTTGAAAAAGAACTCTTTTATTCTTAGTCAAAGAAAATGCACATCTCTATCTAGGAGAATAAAAACAGCAGCAAAGAATGCATGAGATATTTAAAACCCATGTTTATTGTTCATCAGAAAGAATTAGATAAGTTCAGGGAGGATAGGCCCATCAATGGCTATTAGGTAAAATAGTCAGAGGTGTAATCCCATGTTCTGGGTGTCCTTACATGTCTGACTGCCAGAAGCTGGGATTGGAAAACAGCAGATGGATCATTTGATAATTACCCTATTCTGTTCATTCCCTCTGAAATATCTGGCACTGGCCACTGTCAGAA